CTCCTCCTAAGTATTCCTCTATGTTCCTCCCATTCTCTGCTGGTGTCAGCCCTGCTCAGCCTCAGTCCTAGACCTGTCTGGCCTCCTGAGGAAGTGAGAGATGCTCTTCTTAGTTCCCTAAACTCCACATCCTTGGGACTGAGAACAGTTGACTTTGGTGTCCATATAATCTCTAGAAATATTCCATCTCCTGCCAGGGTGACTGTTTCTATGTGTGCTTGCACATTTACTGAAGGCAAGGACCAAGAACCACCTCTGAGGCTATTATGTTTCACACAATACTCAGAGAGATGGAAAGACATCTCCAATTGCCCCAGTCTCATGCTGCTGTCTGGGTATGTGGCTGGAGTCACACAATCAAGACAGCATCAGGCAGCGTTTGAGCAGGATAGGATGGAGCCAGTAATCCTGTCTTTGCTCCTGAAGGCATTTAACTGGCACAAATAGCATTCTTGAACTTCTGAGACAGACAACAAGTCAACCACAAGTCAACCACACATGATTTCAGTCATGTGTGCTACCTGGGGTGGGAGAGGGGAGTGAGACGATGCTCCGGGGTAGGTTTAGTAATTGCAAGAAGGCTCCCTCAGAGCCAGCCAGTGGTGGCTCACACCTGTAATCCTAGCTACTCAGGAGGCTGAGATCTGAGGATCATGGTTCAAATCCAGCCTGGGCAGGAAAGTCCATGAGACTCTTATCTCCAATAAACCACTAGAAAACTGGAAGTGTCTGTGTGGCTCAAGTGGTAGAGTGCTCGCCTTGAGCTGAAGAACACAGGGACAGTGCTCAAGTCCAGCATTCAAGCCCCACAACCAACAACAACAACAACAAAATGAAGGCCCCCCCAGGACAGGGGACAGGATTGTGATGTATTAAGTTTGCCATGAGAAGAATGGGGCCAAAGGTAGCAACTTGAATAATTAAAGAAGTGGAAAAGAACATTTTAAAAACTAGATAGAGTTATTTCCTTAAGAAGTCAGGGTAATAGCAGTCTCTGAGTGGATGGTGAGTTATTTTAAGGAAATCAGTGGATCAGCTATTTTCCACCCAATGAGGACAAAGTAGGGGATGTTTGTTACTCAGAACGCAGAGATATAGGTTAGATAAGTTCACAGTTAAGGCCACAAAGACAGCTACAAATGAGAGATAGCTCCCAAAGGAGGCTGTGCTATACCTTTGGCAAAAAACAAATACTTAGGACAGAATAAAGACCGTGCCCCCAAGGGAGCCAGCCTTCATGCCTTGTGGATTGAGCGATGTGCTGCCACTTTCTTGATCTGTGCATCTAAATCAAATCAGGCATTCCATTGCAATGAGAAGAACATCAAACTCATTATTTTAACCACTTTCCAGTTGGTTCTTAGTTAGTTGGATAATACAATCTTTCTTTAAAAAATAAACACATAAAACCCTGTATATGAACCCCTTCCATCTGTCTGTTGTTATTCACTTGATTCCATAAAGATGTCTGCATTTTACACATATACCTTTCTACATGGAGTGATGCTGATAAGAAAAGGCGAAAATGAAAAAATGCTTATTGAAGAGGAAATGCTTGTCTCAAGCCTTTCACAGAATCCAATTTTTAAAAAGACTAACTCTACTGGGGTTTGAATTCAGGGCTTTGCATTTACTTGGCTTGCTTGTTTGCTCAGCTGCTGTTCTACCACTTGAGAAATGCCTCAGCCTAGCTTTTTGCTGGCAATTAGAGACAGAGTCTCACAGACTTTTCCACCTGGTCTGGCTATGAACTATATTCTTCAAGACCTCAGCTTCCTGAGTACCTAGAGTTATAGGCATGAACCTCAGATGCCCAGCAGAAAAGAAGAACTCTAGGAAAATATATTCTAACTTATTAAAATTAGAATTTATAATCTGAATAGTCAGAGTCTTCGATAAATATTTCAAAACTTAGGTTGGTATGTTGATCTATGGATATATTGAACCCTATAGATAAAAGGACCAAAGGATTTAAAAAATACATTAAAAATACCATTTTTGCATCCTCTAAAACACAGTTGAGAAAACTCATGTTGCTACATGGCAACATATAATATCTATGAACAGAACACACACACATATATAAAACATATAAAAATATAATTCTATGTGAGGAATTCTGTGAATGCTGCCCTGAGAGAAGAGTTCACACAATTGGAATTTTTTAATTGTAAATTTTCCATAGATAACTAGTATTCATAAGTGTCTTTAAAATGATGTGGCTAGAAATAGCATACAAAACTAGTTCCATGTTTTAAAAAGCATAAGGTTATTGTAACTGGTGTTTAAAAGTGCCATCTTTTAAATGGCAACAGAAACATCATGGTTCTATTTACTTCTAGTAAAAGGTTTGTGAGCAAATAAATGTCATTATCCACACTAGCCATACCTTTTTCCTCACCATTTAGAAATGGGAGACACTGATCATTTATCCCTGGCAAGGAGCCATTCTTTCTAGCCCCCACAAAAAAGCTGTATTAATACCAACACTTCCAAATCCAAATGGAGACAAATAACTTGAATGGGTTTTCAAGTTTCTTATCCTCTCACAGGGCATGTAGAAGACAAAGAGTGAGGTTAAGCACCACCACATCACTGGAACAGTACTACAGAATAAGCAGATTACATTAAAATGCCTCCTCCTTTAATAAGTCAGTGGGATGTTTGGAGCTAAGGTAAACAAAGCCATTGTGTGGGAAAGACAGTTAGCTCCTTGCAGCCACAGTCTTCTCCCACTGGGTTACAAGGAATAGCTGATGCACTAGGGATCTCCTGCTCATTTAATTACAGAATCCATCCATCAATTATACCACTCTCTTCATCTAATTACCAGATGGGTTCACTCTTTGAGGTGACGAATGGAAATTAGGCTTTGCCTCTACCTAGTACCAACATTCTTTAGTATCAATTTCTCCCTTTTGTTCTGTCCTAGGGCCATTCCATATATGGCTATATGGCTTTAGCCACTAGCAAGATACCTTCATCTTTCCCCGCAAGACCAGTACCTCTGCAGGGCTGAGCCTATTGCACTTTTGATGTCCCGTGCATCCTCAGTCTCAATGCATCTCAATCTGAGTTTGCTCTCTCTTTCCCAGGAGACTGTCTCCCCAATGCTCCTCTATTTCCTTAGTTGGTGACAACTCCGTCCACCCACCAAGCATTCCAACTGGAAACCGAGATTGTTGATTCCTCCCATTCATATCCTATCAACCCCAATTGCAAGTGTCTCATAAATTGTTTCCTCTATCATACCTGCTGCCATTGTACATTATTCCCACATGGACTACCACGTCCCCTGAGGGTCTCCTGGTCCATATCTGGACCAGTATAGCACTTTTTACTCAGCATCATAAATGTTGCTTATTACAAGTGTCTTCAAATAGTCCCCAAGTAGTTCTTGGAATATAATCCTGGCATGTCATTGTTTTTTATGTTCTCTACATTTAGCATGATGTTCATGCTTTTGGTGTGTATGTGTGTGTGCGTGCGTGTGTGTGTGTGTGTGTGTGTGTGTGTGTGTGTGTGTGTGTGTGTGTGTGTGTGTGTACAGGGCTTGCACTCAGGCCCAGATGCTATCCCTTTGCTTTTTCCGTTCAAGGCTGACATTCTACTACTTGAGCCACACCTCCACTTCTGGCTTTTTGCTAGTTAATTGGAGATAAGAGTCTCATCGACTTTCCCACCAAGGCTGGTTTTGAACCACGATCTTCAGATCTCAGCCTCCTATGTAGGTAGGATCACAGGTATGAACTACTAGCACTAGCAATATTTATGCTTTTTTTGTAGGTTGTAGGACTTGAATTCAGGGCCTGGGCACTGTCATGAGCCTCTTTGTGCTCAAGGCTAGTACTCTACCACTTGAGCGCAGTGTCACTTCTGGTTTTTGAGTAGTTAATTGGAGAGAAGATTCTCACAGGAACTTTTCTGCCTGGGCTGGCTTGGAACCGTGATCCTTAGATCTCAGCCTTCTGGGTAGCTAGGATTACAGGCTTGAGCCACTGGTGCCTGGCAATATTTATGCTTTTGATTTAGTAAATATATGAATTATTCCTAGACCATCAGATCTCTAGACACTAGACATTTCAGGAAGTAAAACCAATTCACCAGCAAAGTTCCTGCTCACCAATCCTGATCTTGCTACAACTTACTCCATGAAGTCATAAAGACTAAAAATTTATTAAAGCATGCATTATAACCTTTCATTCCTCACATCCTTACTTGCTTGCCTCTCACAAAGAAGTTTTTTTTCTTTCTCTTTTCCATATCATTTTTTTCAACAAAAATCATCTACCTTCACTTTGTATGTATTGCTGCCAATATTTATATTTTTAGGTCTTACTTCCTAATGAGGAGAAACAACTTCTCCCTCCCTCCATACATACTCAAGAAATGAGGCTTTTGTCAACAGGGTGCATGCATGCGCATGCATGTGTATGCACATGTACACGCACACACACACACACACACACGTGAAGGACAGCAAAGGGAAGGGAGGGGAGAATTCCAGAGAGAATTAATTTAAGTCAGCATGTGAGTGGGTCTCCTGGCCACTCAGCCAGCTCTTAACCAAACAGCCAAGATTTTTTTTGCTGTTGTTTTTCTGTATTAAGAATCTTCTGAACTCAGTTCAGAGGATTAATTAATGACTATGGGAACAAAGTTATTTCATGAGGAATCTCTTGTTTCCTAGGAAAAGAAATAGAAAATACAAAACACAAGACTGCATTGTGGTTGTTCTAAGAACTAATTCCTCCTTCTTGGGGACAGGGACTTCCCCAAAGGCCTATGAATCTCTGGTTTGGGGGAGAACCCTCCATCCCCTCTCCCCCGCAAACCACTTGAGTCTCATTCAATTCCAAACCATAGAGCAACAATATGGAGCTTCTGAGGTCATTCACCTTTCATCCCCGGAGCCTGGCACCACCATAGCATTCGTGGCTTGGGTACCGACAGGGACATGTCACTGAGCCGGGACATGGGACGTGGAGGTAGGTACCTACCTTTGCAGGTGAAGCATTTGATGTGGAAATGTTTGGTCTGTACACGAAGCACTTCCCCCTTGCATGGCTCCCCACATTTATGGCAGTGGATGACGGGCTTCTCTGGGGGGTGGTGAGGGTCCGGAGGCGGAGCCACTGGAAGAAACAACAGAGGATGCAGGTGAGGGAGAAAACGGCCTATAAAATGTGTCCTTGTCAAGGACACATAAATTCCACCACATGGTAGCCAGTCAGCCACATGTTGACTTCAGGGGCACAACCTAAGAACCTCCATCCCATAATCATGACATCCCCAGATGATGAAGACATGGGGGTCACAGCGGACGTATCCCTCTGTGGATCCCGTTGTCCGCTGTCTTCCTCTCATATTCTCTAGGATTGCATGTAATGGAACCATTACATAGTCAGTCTTGTTGGTCTAGTGTTTTGAAATGTCTTTTTTCTTGATATAGAAAATCTGTGTCAGCCGTTCACGGTAGACTGTGAGCTCCTTGAAGATGAGAATCATCTTCCAAAGCTGGGCCTTTTCTCCCCAGCTATACTTCCTTTTCCTCCCCTAGATTCGCAGAGAGCAGACAGCAGAATGCTCATGCTCCAGAGGAGCCCTGATGTGTGCTTGCCTGTGAATGATACTGGCTGGTCTAATTCACCAGCCAGGATTTCCTGAGCTTAATTTAGAGACTCATTTAACCTGTGGGAGGCCTATTCCTGATACACAGACCACAAACAGTGATTTTAAAGATATTGCTAATCCTGCAACTGGGTGGATCTCTCCCTAAACCTTTCTCCAGAAAGCAAAGGGGATTGGACTAGTGGTTCTGGGAGTTTTTCAGATCACAAGCACTTGGTGGGGTTTACAGGTTATTCCCACAGTGTTATTCCACAGAGAACAGAAGTTCCCTGTCTTGGCCTGCACAGCTTCCACTCTAGGGAGGCCAAGAGGGAAGGCAGTGAAGACATTTCAGCTTCTAGATAACTCTGGGCATGGGCACTATCCCAGGCTAGCGGCTCTACCACTTAAGCCACAGCACTTCCCTCTGTCTTTTGTCTGCTTATGTGGTGCTGAAGAATTGAACCCAGGGCCTCATGCATGGAAGGCAAGTACTCTATCACTCTACCACTGAGCCACCTTTCCAGCCTAGATAATCCAGTGTCTTTATTAACACCTAGTTTTCTCAGCTACAGCATGCAAATAAGGCTCTGGTGGCTATCAATCCTTTTCTGACAGGGGTTCTCAGAACACATGTGCTATATGGAAATGATTAACCTATATGCTATAGGATAAGAACAAGGAACCAGATATTAATCAACCAACACAAAGAACAAAGCCAATTGTTTTTCACAAATGGCAAATTGTGTCAGGCCGGGGGCAAGGGGCAGATACTGCTGAAATTGTACTTGGAAACCACCTTGCTGCCAGGAGTTCCCTATACACTGTAGATAGAGTAACTCATTGTTTCTCAAACCTGTGTAAGGTTCTCATTTCACCTGGAAAGAGTTAACATGAAGACAGTCCAAATAACCCATTATGGCTGCATACTAACAAACAAGGTTCTTCTTGTGAAATGTGGACTAAAGAGTAGATGAGGTTTCAAGTTAAACACTTGATCTGAATTCTCCACACTGGATTCCGCGGAATGTCAGGCTGGGTACCTGAGGTGTAATTCACCTGTGTTTCCTTATCTGCTGGAATCACTCCTGTAAACCTTTATTTACAACAGAACTCACTATTTTGTACAGGAATTAGGGAGAGATGAGCTATCAAGATCTCTAAATAGCTCTCTCTCACTTTGAAAGTAATGTGTATCAAGACAGAAAAATCTGTCCTTCTGGCATTTAAAAAAAATAAAGAGGGGGTGGCTTCAATGTGGACTGTTTTCCTGCTATTTTATGCTTTCCACTGCAGCTGGGATGACAGGAATGTATCACCCATATCCACTTATTGGTTGAGAAGCGATCTCCCTAACTTTTTGTCTGGGCTAACGGGATGTACCCCATCTAAGCCTCACAAGTCACTGAGACTTGCAGGCCTGAACCACTGCACTTGCCTTCAGACAATTCTTGAACATACTCCAAGTTAAGAACTTTAGAATTCTTACAATTTGAGTAAAGCCAGCCACAGAGAATAAATTGAAATTCCAAAGTAATTTTCTAGCCTGTCTTCTTCAGAAACACCAAGGAAATAGCAAATCTCTTCACAGTGAGGTAGACTGCATTTTTGGAGAAGACACACTGCAGTTTCTCTTGATACTGAATTTTTTGGAGCTAAGCAGGCCAGCCAGGATGAGTAATGACGAGGAAAGGAAAGTATCATTTCACTTCTTGCCTCTTCTTTCTGTCTGAAGACCAGAGTCTATACATTGCAAGCATTTCCCTTTGGGGATATGGATTACACCAGGAGACCCTCCATGCCCAGAGAGGGCATCCACCTTCCGCCAGAGATGGCCAAAGCCTGCTTCCTTGCCTACCCTCCATCTTGGCTGAGGCAGATGCACAGCAAAACCACCCATTTGTGAATAAAAGAGATTTTATTAGAGAACAGCAGACTCCAAAGACCATAAAGAATAGGTATATTTTATCCCAACCCAGATCAGTATAGACAAAAGAATCTTTCCTCTTTCAAGATGAATATAGCATTTCATTTTTTGTCTTGGAAAGTTTGATTATTACCAAATGTGTGTTGGACGGTTCAAGGCTACACTTATGAAATATTCTGACTGAGCTGATTTCAATACAGACAGGACATGAGGGCTGCAGTCCTCAGACTTGACAGCTGCCTCTGCTGCTGATTTTTACATGAAAGCTCGGTGTTTCAGAGCCTGGTCAGTTCCTGTTTCTACTGATGGAGAAATGGGAGTGAAGAGCTCACATTCCTCTCCAAGGCAGTCAGTGTGAGATCAGCAGAGGTACTCTTTGCTACAGGCTTCCCATCATACCAAGGAGACAACCATGGTTAATCTATCACAGTTTGCTGATGCCATTGGTAAAGCTAGAAGAGGACAATCAAAACCTGTGCCGGTGGCACATATTCTAAATAGTGAGCATGTACATAGGAAGAGCCAATAGTCTGCAGCCATGAAGGCAGAATAGGACTCCTGCATTGTGTATCATGTCATCTGAAGACATTCTGCCTGCTCAGCCATAGCTGCCCACTGCAGGCCCAACTGAGGAGTTGCATATTTGCCTTCCCAATCAAGCAAAAAAAAAAAAAAAGCAGCTCTGCTTATGTCTGCAACTCCAATGCAGGTCAAAAACCAGAAGGTCCACTTTAGAACCTGTTAATATGACCAACAGATCATAAAGAGTGCATGTAATTAGTAAAAATGCCTGTGCAAGAAATGAAAGTCTAATACTGTCTTGCTGTGCATTTTGCATCTCTGGACACATGGTACTGATCTGTTCTAGCTACTCCCAGCCACCTGCTAGATCTTGTCTAATTCCTGTTTCCTGGAATCCTTTCCTCCTGAAGCCATCTTGATAAAAAGCCTTTCAGTGTTGCTTTCAAGACAATTTTCCTTTCACTTTTACATTCAATAACATTACATTTCTTCACCATCATCCAACATTTAATGTTCTCTTGTGTTTGTTTTGCATTTCCTTTCCAATGCATCAATCCTGATACATGGATTTCTGCAATAATTCTTTTTTTTTTTTGGTCCGGTCGTGGGGCCTGAGCGCTGTCCCTCAGCTCTTCAGCTCAAGGCTAGCGCTCTACCACTTGAGCCACAGTGCCACTTCCAGCTTTTTTTCTTTTTGCTTATGTGGTGCTAAGGAATCGAACCCAGGGCCTCATGCATGCAAGGCAAGCACTCTACCACTGAGCCACCTTCCCAGCCCTTCTGCGATAATTCTTATTTCAAACATTCAAGAAGGTGAACTATTATCTCTCTACTTCTCCATTCAACTTTGGGTTGCAGAAAGTAGAGGTATCACCTAATATCACAACTGAGGCATTTCCCCCAAGCAATGCTCATCTTCTGTCATGGCAATAAATAACCAGAGGACACTATTACAGCCTTATAACCATGATCACTTATTGAACATTCAGTATGTCCCAGGCTTGGGGATGGCTAATGGCTGTCCTCCCAACCTCCTTGTGAGGTTACTTCTGTGTAACTCTGATTTTTTTTTCCAGAGGAGGGAACCCAGGCAAGAAGAGTTTCATAACTTGTCCAAGATCACACAGCCAAGAAATAGACTGCCTGCGAAGCACATGCTTGAAACAGTGTGATGGAGATTTCCACAGGAAAATCCACCTGCATGGGAGGAAATGGGGCCAGTGTAGTATGCCCTCTCAATTCTGATGACACAGCTTCACAAGTGGTGAACATCGCCCAGTGCCCGAGGCTCACGCCTGTAATCCTAGCAACTCAGGAGGCTGAGATCTGAGGATTGTGGTTCAAAGCCAGCTTGGGCAGGAAAGTCTGTCAGACTTTTATCTCCAATTACCACCAGAAAACACGAATGCTGAGGGACAGCATTCAAGGCCGCAATGGGAAAAGAAAAATGGTGAACAGCCAACCACACCATCACTGCACAGGTAGCACTTGCTAGTAAATAAGCAGATAAGGGACAAAAAAGACTTCCAATGGAAAAAGGGAATTCTTCCAGGCCACAGCAGTTAACACTGACAGAGAATCAAGGGGAGACAGCCAGGAAATGCACTCCACCATCAGGAGGATTCTCCTGCAGCCTCTGCTCTGAGCAGAGATCTAGATTGTTCGTCTGTCAGACAGTTGACCCCAGCAGGGGTACCCTGCATGGTAAGGCTGACTTCAGCTTAAAAGCAGGCCTCCTGTTTCCCTGGGAGTCTGTGTTTTCTCAGATTCTTTCCTTACCTGGGATATTTCATTGCTTCTCCCTGCTTAGTTCCCACTGAAATGTAAGCACACATTGCAGAAATGGGCTCCCTGCCTCCTTCCACCCCACTCCCCTCCTTTCTTTGTGCTAGAAAAGCAAAGGAAACCCCAGAGCTTAAATAAATGCACCGGGTGCTTAATTTGCAGTTTACCCAAAAGTCCATTTCCTGCTGTGGCAAGTGGTAGTTACTCGAAGCTCCTCACACTGTTGCCCTGTTATTAGTTGTCCAGAATGAGCCTTCTCTTAAATTGGCCTCCACGACCTATTTTCTTTTA